TGTGCTTCACGGTTTTAGTTCTCATCTTTAAAGCACTCCATGGCTTAGAGCCTGGGTATCTACGAGACCACCTTCTGCCACCAATAATCTCCCACCGGCCAATACGCTCCCACAGAGAGGGTCTCCTCAGGGTGCCGTCAGTCAAGCAATGTCGACTGGCGACCCCCAGGGGGAGACCCTTCTCTGTGGGGGCACCCGCCCTCTGGAACGAGCTACCCCCAGGAATACGACTGATCCCGGACCTCCGTACTTTCCGCCAGGCTCTGAAGACTTTCTTGTTTCAGCAAGCCGGGTGGGCTTAAAATTTTAATTGATTAATTTTATGGGTAAGGGGTGTTAAAATTGGGAAGCCAAATTGATTTAATTATTTTTAAATTATTTTAATTTTCATATTATATATATTTTAATCCTGGCTGTTCACCACCCTGAGTCCTTCGGGAGAAGGGCGGTATAAAAATTTAATAAATAAATAAATAAATAAATAAATAAATAAATAAATAAATTAATAATAATAATAATAATAATAATAATAATAATAATAATAATGATGATGCTGCAGCAGGCCATCCAAGGCGTACTCCAATCCACTGAGATAACTAATGCTCTCCGGGATCCCCACAATTGCTTCCCCCCCCCATCCTGCCCTACTGGGTCTCCACAGACTGGGCCTGCTTTGCTAGCATCCCATATTCCACTTACTTCTCCACTTACTTTCCATGGATTACTTACATTTTGAAGATCGCCAGAGCTCCAAAAGAGGCTGACCCACTGGCAGAGAAACCAAAGTTTTTTATTCAGATGATGGCAAAACTGTAAGAATGTGAAATCTAAGGAAAACATTTTCACCAGCTTCTGAGTAAAAGACTTCGGCAGGGGCCATGTGGCCAACAGGCCTAGGCCTGGGCTGGGCCACAACAGCCTCTTGCTTCAGGGATTGAGGCAGCAGCAGCAGCCAATCAGCGAAGAGGTTGCTTTGTCTCATCAGGCTAAACTGCAAGCCCCTTGTTGATTGGCTGCCACGCCCCAATCCCTGAAGCTGCTCATTCAAACTAGCCACTCAGCAGCAAGCAGGAGACTGCTCGTTGCTGGCCAGACTGGGCCCAAACTAAGCCTGCAGGCCCCCATGGCTGAGAAGCCAGTCTTTTATTCAGATGGGGAAAGCTGTTTTCCTCTCACCTTATTACAGCTTCACGGGCTTCTGAATAAAAGACTTTGGCTGCTCTGCCACCTGGGTCAACCTCTTCTGGAGATCTTCGAAAAGTAAGTACAGCAAAGTCATGGGAAATAGGGTAAGAAGGGCTGAATTCGGCCCACGGAGGCTCCATTTTGGCCTGTAACAAGCCGGGAGAGGCCTCCGGAAACTCCATTTTGGCCAGCAATAGGTGGGGGAGGCCTCTGGAGGCCCCCATGTTTTCTTTTGGTCAGCAGAATGTTACAGGCAGCCATCCAAGCCAAAAATGGGCTGAGGGGGGGCACTAGCAGAGGCACCGTGGGCCAGTCCTTTGCTATTTCAAGGACAGCCCTGTAGGCCAGATCTAAGCACCCCGCAGGCTGCATCCAGCCTGCGGGCCTTGAGTTTGACACCCCTGTCCTAGATTCTATCAAATTCCTACTGTGATTCCCCGAAAATAGGACATGTCCTGAAAATAAGGCCAAGCCTGATTTTTGGGGTGGGCCTAAATATACGCCCTCCCCCAGAAATAAGCCCTTCCACTTTCTCTCTCTCACATACAGGTCCTTCACCCTCACCACTGCCCTGGCTGGGGTTTGGAAGCCGCAGAAGCAGAGTTTAGGGGAGAGAAAGAAAGACTTCTGCTGCTTCTGGCTGCATTAAGGAAAGAAGGGAGATGGTGGCGCATGAAGGCCATTCACAGCTGGGAAGATAAAACCCTATCTTATTTTCGGGAAAACATGGTAGTCTTCTGCAGATGATATGTCATTAAAAGGGGGTGTGTGTGGAAGCCTTTTTGGGTTTTACAACACAGATAAGAAAAATGAAGAATTTGGCAATTTTGAGAATACTCTCTTCTCAATGTGAATCTCAATGTATCTATACATTGAAAGAGAGATATTCTGTTATATATGAAAACATCTCCTTTCATCACTATGACCCAAAAATTACACGGCAATTCTGAGTTCGTTGGGGAAACAGAATTCACAACCTTTTCTACTATCTCACCATTACATGGTACCGTAGTGACCAGTGGGGTGAGGAAAGCAGAGATAATGCATTAATATAACATCATGTGAAAATATTACATCAAATTCTATTACATCAATTTCCTACTGCTGGATCATCTATGAAAATTCCCAATAACTTTACCTATCCTGGTGATCTCCAATTGAGTCCCATTGGCTGGAATCAATGAAAATGGCTAAAAACAAATGACAAAGCCAGTTGTGAAATTTGGCCAGATCTATCTGGCTCGAGGGAACCAGTAGGGCCAGTGGCGGTGGGATGCTCTGCCCACCCGCCAGGACATCATTATGTCACATTTTTGACCCTCTGCGCATGCGCAGAAGGCTCTGCACATGCGCAGAAAAGGTGCGCTCGCTCACATTTCCAAACCAGCAGCGAAGGTAAGTGTCTTTCACCGCTGGATAAAGCATAATGTGTGATCTCAGATAATGTTTTACAAGAAGTAGATCTGCATTAGAACCTCTGACTTGTTTCACTTGGGGTTTCTTTAGCAGTAGGAAAGGAACATTAACTAGTTTAGAACATCAGTCTATAATTTTAAGGTTTTTGTTTAAATCTTAAATTGAATTTGGACAAGATACTCTCATTTTTTGTTTCTAGAAAGATAAGAGACCAAGCTACCAAAAATAGATTGCTGTGGCTTTAAAATATAATCAGTATTTCTAAAAGTATTTCAGTCTTTTCCATCTTCTAATGATATCTTTGGCTCTGTTAGACCACCATTTGTTTTTTTTCTAAAATAGCATCTATATGGCTGTTTCAAGATTTCTAGGAAAAGAAAAAAATCCCATTTCAACAGTTAGGTTTATGCCACATGGTGAACTACAAATAGTGTGGTTTAAGCCATATTTGAACTTAGCTTCTATGACTCATAGAAGTCATAGAAGTCATGTTTGAGTGTAGGCTAATCAAACTCAGAAAACTAGATTAATTGAACCACAATTGTATTAATCCTGAAAGCTATAAGAACACATCAGATAAGGTGATTTACTGCCCTTTCATATTCAAATGATATACTTAATTGGATCAGAAGGATGCATGGTTTGTTTTTGAGATGTAAATCTAATCAAGTTGGAAAAAAAAAAAAAGAATAGTCCCTGGAGTCTTAGAGACTAAGACAATGCTTCCTCAATTTTATGGTAAAAACTATTTCTCAGGATTACATTATCTGCCTCTTTATGAGGCAAAGGGATGGGGTGGCTCCCAAATGGGCCTTCTGTACGGTAAATATTTCTCTATTATTTCTTTCTCTATGGCGGAGGAGGGACAATAAATAATAGGCTCCAACATTATTTATCAGCTTATGATTATATTGCTGATTTATTTATTTATTTATTTATTTGCTCTACTCCAGTTGGGGAAAGCTAATTTCCTAGCTTCCTTGAGGTTGAGAGGACTCAGAAAGCAATCATTCCCAACTGACATTCCCCACCATAGTTATGGCCTTGTTGATCACTGCACAAGGGAAAGTCAAAGAAATTCTGGGGAATGGGTAACTGGATTGTCTCAATATAGTAAATGCAAGTAGCCATAAGTATGAGTTATATGAGGTGTATATAGATTATAACAAGCCATGGTCCCAAAATATAAGCAAGAATATATATCTAAGCTCCAGTTTAGATTACTCTTGTGAGTCCACTCAGAATAACTCAAAATCAAATTACATTATTACTGATACATATGTGAATGCAGTCTATGGGAGAAATCTATTAGTACATATTTCTGTGATTGCATTTCTAACTTAAGCTGCATCTGCGATTTGCTGTCTGCCATGCAGCTATTTAAAAGGGAAATTCCAAAGCAGAATTTACTTCACACATAATCTTGGCAGAGGCATCAGGAATAACTATATTTGCAAATGGACTGTACATATTATTCAGAAATAAATCCCAAAAATTCAGTATGGCCTCCTCAGAAACAAGTGTTGGATGGTGACTCCCTATAAGAAGATCAGACTCCCTATATGGATGTAACAGCAATACTCAACTGCTTAGCTATGTCTTCTCATCCTTTTTACAACTGTATAGCTATTTTTTCCATTCATGTTGGTTCTCTAAAGTATGTAAAGATATATGAAGCATTCTTGGCTTCTCCACGGATCCCTCAAACAAATCAAGTTCAATCCTTAAAGCAGAGTAGGATGATTACTCCAATCAATATATTTCAAGTGTCACAATAGAATAACTAATAATTATTCTTATGGTTATCCCTAAAAGAAGATAAACATTTAGGGGGTTTGGTGGTTCTGGCTTGTTTGCCAAATATTATTTAACTGCATATTATTAATTAACCTCTGCAGTGCTTTAGTAGCTACTTTAAAACCCATTGCCTCCACAGCAGGATATCTTGGCCCTGTTCAGAAAACAAGAATACTTGATAGTAACATGTGAACTTGTCTCATTTGGTTACTAAACCCACAGCAAACTATTTCAGTTTGTAGGGTTGGGCCAGGATATATGAGCTTTGGGAGAGTAGATTAGATTACCTTTCTTTCAAACAGATTCTAGTGTAAGCAAATTTACAATACTGCAAAATCAAATATCAATTCTTTGACGAATTTGCCAGAGTATAATATGCTTTTATACAATAGAATATCAGTTCAATAAGTTGGAAATCGGGAGGTTTATATATGTAACAGGAAATATCTATTTAACTATAAATTTTAGTAACTCCTGTTCCCAATGCAGCAAGTGCATTTCAAACAACAGACATTTAAAAAAAAAAAAAAAAAGCTTGCATATATCCCACTTCCCATTCAAAAACAAGTAATTTATGCGTAAAAAAGAGTAGGCTCTCCTACCTGATTTCCTTTTCGAGGATCCATAATCCCTGAAAAAAAGGCAACAACAGATAGACATGGTTAGATCCTGGAGCATAAAGGGAGAAAAGGTGAGATCCCAGGCTCCTATCGGCTTATTCAGAGATACATTGTAGGATCCTTCTGTTTTAAATTGGAGCTGGGGACCATAAGGCATTGACACACTTAAACAGCCGCGATGTAGTTTCCTAGATCAGCAGCAGCAGCTGCTGGTGCTCTTGCAGCAATTGAATATAAGAAAGCCCATGTGATCTATCAGAGAGACCAGACCATCCAGGCAAAGGAAGGGGGAGAGAGAGGGTATCAATTCTTTCCTCTCTTTAAATCAAGCTGTTGCTGACTCTTAACTCCTTATTGTTCTCCTCCAACTCAGAGGCACAAGCCTGCCGGCTATTCTCTGTAAAGTTCCTACATTTTGCTATAGGCAGCATTTTGTGATGCTCAAGATCCTCTGGTTTCAAAAGCTGTTTGCCATCTGCATTGCTGGCAGCTCCTTCTAGTTATCTCTCCTAACACTTGCTTGTATAAAAAAAGAAAAACCTCTCTGGCTTCTTTCTCATAAGAATGAATACTGGGGATGATTTTCTTTCCTCATTGGCAAAATGAAAGCAACAGCAAGCCAATTCTTTTGACAAGGCACTTTTTAAGAAAGAAAGATCACGCTTATCAGGATATCACATGGTGCAGAACAGCATGGCTGGTCCTTAAGAAGAATCTCTTGTATTTCTAGTAGAGCAAAATACTTTTTAAAATAGCACAATCCCATGTCTGATTCTTTCAGTAAAAGTTGCTAGTTTCTGTGTAACCGTGAAGAGAGATTCCGGGGTACAATTTTTAAAATTAATCCATATTAAGAGTTTACTCTTCTATAAAGTCCTTTTACACAAGAAATTAATGTGGCCTTTAAAAAAAAAAATGTTTGCTAGCATTTTTTTTCTTCCCTGCCTGCTATTGGCTTTTCAGATGGATCTAGGTATATTTTTCAACACTGAATTAAATATGTCTAAATGACTCACAGCCTCTGAAAACAATGTGAACTTGATATGAATGTTAATGTTAGTAATAATATTTGAAAATTAATTACTTCATTCCAGTAAGTGAGATGGTTTTATTCACCATATAAAAAGTATTGTGGAATGGGAGAAAATGTGAGGTATAGTTAAAGCCATCTAAATATAATCCTGTATTAATATATTCAGTTTAAAGTTCCATTGGGTTTAAGTAGGCCTACACATAAGTAATAAGATCTGAAACAGAGTAACCTCCATAAAAGTGGTGGGTTGCTACCGGTTCGCACCAGTTCGGGAGGACCAGTAGTGGTAATTTGGGCTGGTTTGCTGAACCATTAGTAATCGCTGGCTGGCCATGCACCCGAACCGGTCCGGGCTCGCTTGCCCCAGCCACCTGATGATCACCCCGCCCCCTCCACCCAGTCACTCCTCACTTATACTGTGGGGGTCCTCGCTTGCAGCTTGCCTGCCTGAAGCACTGCACCCCAACTGAGTGGCCCTGCCTGCTAGATAAGCCTGCGAGTGGCCGCCTACCTAGCTGCCCCTGCCGCCCCCCACTGTCCCAGCCAGCCTCTCCTACTCCCTTCCCCGCAGCCCAAAGTCCTGCCATGCTTCCCTGCCTTCCACGTGTCCCTGTGGCCAGCTTGCAAAGGCAGGCAAGCGGGCCTGGCCACGGGGACCACCGGGAAGGCAGGCAAGCATGTCAGGGCCGCCCAGCTGTGGAGAAGAAGCTAGAAGCTTACCCCTTTCCCGAAGCCCTGCCATGCTTGCCTGCCTTCCATGCTGCCTTCCCAGTGTCCCGGTGGCCAGCTTGCCACCCACCCCCACCTCGCTTCCCTTTTATCTTTGTTTAACGTGTCCCACTTCCCTCCCCAAACCTCAGGAGGTGGCGTCCTCCACACACCGCAAAGTCCTCAAGGCGGCTGCAGGAGGGGGAAGAGAAAAAAAAAGCCTCAGCCTCTGAAGCCTCTTGAGGCCTCCACAAGCAATGGCAGATGGGAGGGTGGCTGCGGCTGACTTGGGATGGAAACGCGGAGAAACGTGCAGTGAAGCAACTGCCTTTTCCTCTCTGACTTCTGTTAGCAGAGAGAAGGAAGAGGCACAGGTGGCAGCGGCAGCTATGGACCCCAAAGAACACGTATGGGCCACAACACTGGCAGGCAAGGGGCCGATCGCAGTCGGCGTGGTTATCGGGTGGGCTCCCTTTGCGTGGTTCAGTTCAGCGCTGCCAAACACACACACAAGGAGGCCTCCTTTGAGAGGTTTCAGAGGCTGAGGCTTTTTTTTCTTTTCCCTCTCCTGCAGCTATATCGAGGGCTTGGCGGTGCGGAGGATGCCACCTCCCAAGGTTGGGGAGGGAAGTGGGGCGCGTTAAAGAAAGGTAAAAGGGAAGCAGGGTGGGGTGGGACTTGGTATCCCCCTCGTGATCCTCTTCCAGGTCAGATGGTTCCTCCTTTCAACCTCAGAACAAATACCTGGTCCTGCACTTGACCTGGCCGGACAGCACCCCCTCAGTGCCCTCCCGCCTGTCCTTCCTTCTCCTACAGGCTCCGGTGATTTGTCGTGGGAACCCTTAGTATACCTGCTCCCTTCCCGAGGTTATTTGGCCACACTTGTGCACTGCGGGGCCTGGTAGTTTTCTGGACTGTGCCGTCCTGAGAGTGGGCCTTCTGACATTTCAAAAGTCTGTGTGTGGGTCCTCGCTGTGAAATCGGCCCCCAAAGCAGTTGAAAGGAGTCTCAGAGGGGAGGCCAACGCAGCCCATTGGGCGCTGAGGTTACCCAGCCACCGAGTGCTGGACTAAGGTCTGCCTTTTGCCCCTCTGGTGGGGAATGAGGTTACCTTCCCTGCTGCTTGGCTCTTGGGTGAAATTCGGGGGGGGGACATTGGCACTCAGAGGGGCTGTTGGCTGGATCAAGTAACCTGGAGGGCTGTGGAGACTGAAAGTTGGGGGGGGGTGAGCTTTGTTGCTCAGGCTGAGAAGCAACATGGGAGAGAGACCCAGCTTTGCTGTCTGAGGAACTTTGGGAGTTGAAGTCCGCAAATCTAAAAGTTGCGAAGATTGGAGACCCTTGCCCTAGACCACTTTAGGAGCAAAGTGGTGGGTTTTGCTGGCATTTCAGCAGGAAGGGGAGGGAGGGAGGGAGAGAGAGAGAGAAATAGAAAAACAGAGAAAGAAAGAGACAAAGAAAGAAAGAGAAAGAAGGAAAGTGGGAGGAAGGGAGAGAGAGAAAAGAGAGGCAGAGAAAAGAAAAAAGAGATGAAGAAAGTAAAAGAGAAAGAAAGAAAGTGGAAGGGAGAGCCAAGATAGAAAGAAAGAAAGAAAGAAAGAAAGAAAGAAAGAAAGAAAGAAAGAAAGAAAGAAAGAAAGAAAGAAGAAAGAGAGAGACAAAGAAAGAAAGAGGAAGGGAGAAAAAGAAAGAAAGAGAGAAACTAGACATGGCTTCAGAAGACACTTTGAAACAAGACAGCAATCTACGGCTGGAAGGGACCTTGGAGGCCATCTAGTCCAACCCCCTACTCCAGCAGGAAACCTTATATTGTCTGGATTATTTTGGTGCCTCTAACAGAGAGAAAAAAATGCCAGAAATGAGAAGGAGGTTACTAGGACAAGGCTGCCATGCAGAGGAAAGCAGAGATAGTCCTTGACTTATGACCAAATTGAGTCCAAAATTTTGGTTCCTAAGCAAGAGTATTGTTAAGTGAATTTCACCACATTTTAATCAATCCATGACCTCTCCTGGCTCTAACAGTCATGTGCAAGCTAGGGAAGAACATCTGAAAGTGTATGTAATGTTCTAAATGTACAGAAGTTATAGTTAAATGTATGGCAGAAAGTGGACTCTGGGTGTGTTTTTCCAAATGTATTAAGTGAGGTTGAATGTATATAATTTTAGAAGAGCTCTCTGGGTGTGTGTGTGTGTGTGTGTGTGTGTGTGTGTATACATACACATACAGTGTGTGTATATATATATATATATATATTGATTTTGACATTTAATTTTTGGCAAAGCAAAGGAGTTGTGGTGGTGCAGTGGTTGGAATGCAGTATTGCAGGCTACTTCTCTGCCCACAGCCTGAAGCTTGATCCTAACTGGCTCAAGGTTGACTCAGCTTTCCATCCTTCCGAGGTCAGTAAAATGAGGACCCAGATTGTTGGGGGCAATATGCTGACTCTGTAAACCGCTTAGAGAGTATATAGCATTATGCTATATACTAGATAGTATAAAGCACTATGGAGCAATATATAAGTCTAAGTGCTATTGCTATTTTTGGTAGAGACTTCAAAAAGGAAGCAAAACTCTGCTTTCCTACCTAGTTTTAAAAATAAATGTTAGGTAAATATTTTTGTTCAGCCCTAACCATAAAACTTCTTCTACTAGAGGAGTGGTTAGGGAATGGAGGAAATCAGAATGCTTGTCTCTTTGCCTATATACTACTAAAATTCTTTTGCTTGTAACTTTTAACTTGTGAAACTGAGCATCGTTGGGCAACAATATTTGTTTCAAGGTACTTCAAATGAGCTAATTTACAGAATGCATCCAAAATCTGAGGCTGAAATTTCACAAATTTGTGGTTGCTGCAATGCTGCCACCAGTTCAGTAGCTTGATCCTGTCCTAGCTTTCCAGAAGCCAGATACACTGGCCCCTACTATGGACTATGGTCTACCTGATACATAATCAGGTAGACCAGTCCTGACTCTCTGGGTAAACTGGTCCCACCACTGGCTGCTGGAGAATAGTTAGTTGTGGTCAAGCTGGCAGGAAGTTGGAAGTCACTCCCGTTCCCATTGCTTTTTTGCCCTTGGTCATTCTTTTTCTGTTTAGATAAGGAAATATTTCTGAAACATGTCATGGATTGTCTAGTTTTTACCAACAATCAGATTCATTAAGACTACAATTGTAGAAGTCCATATGATCTATAATATCTCTACAAGCTGGAAAGGAGAGTCAACATATAACACAAGCTATAGCTGTTTCTATTCAAAGCTCACGGCTTG